ACGCCCGGGTGCTCCCACTGCGAGGATCGACCGGAGGACACGGTGGAGCACACCGTGGAGGTGTGCCCTGCCTGGGCGGAGTACCGCCGTGTCCTCGTAGCGGCGATAGGCGGCGGCGACCTCTCGCGTCCGGCCCTGGTCGAAGCCATGGTCCGGAGCGAGACGGAATGGGATGCCGTCACCACCTTCTGCGAAGCAGTGATGCTAGCGAAGGAGGTGGCGGAGCGGGAGAAGGAGAGAGCAGCAGCTTTCCTTCCCGGCCGCCGCGGGAGACGCCCCGGGCGTCGGGGGCTACGTCGTGGCCCCCGGCCACCGTAGGCGCGGGCCTGTGGACGGCGAGCAATGGGTATCTCGCCGTCCGTCCGTCTAACGACGACAGGCCGTGTCGACGGCGCGTTTTGTTCCACGCGCGCCTCAAAGAGCTGTCAGCAGCGTGAAGGGGCCCGCAAGGGCCGACGCCTGCCGGGGCTGCGGGCTGTTCGAAAGAGATACCGCGGCTCCGGAACGTAAGGGCACTGAAGGAGCACGGATGGTTTTTAGTCAGTAAAAGTTTGACACTCCCTTCCGCTCCACCCAGAGCGAAAGGCGTCATTTGATGATTTTCCATCCGCAAAAAAAAAAAAAAGGGGTTCTCCCACGCAAAAAAGACTCAATCCAAGCCAGTAGTTTTCCACGTATTCCTACGCATTCAAGTTTCTGGAGGAGTCTTCTCGTAGGGAATTTATCGAAGGCCTTTTCGTAGTCAAGATAAATTACATCAGTAGGCTCTCTCTCATTAAAGTGTTTCGTCCATGATGATAGGCATAATAATAAATTGGAAATCGTGGAACGATGTGGATAAAAACCATGTTGCTGTTTAGGAATAACTTTGTGGTTGGAGAGGAAGTTTCTAATATGTTTGACTATAATTTTCTCCATAACCTTGCAGACCACACTGGTCAAACTAATGGGTCTGTAATTGGTTGGTTCCGGTTTGCTACCTTTTTTAAATATTGGTGTCACCAACGCTGCTTGTCTCGTACGATGTTTGCTTTATTGTCGTTAAATAGTGAGATAGGTTGCATTTCTTCAATATAGATACTGGTATATCATCTGGTCCCGGAGATGAATCTGTTTTCATTTCTGAAATGACTCGGTTGACTTGGTCTGGCGTGAACAGAATTTCTTCAATGGAATCCTCTACTCGAAGTGTCGGGTCTAATGTAGGCAGTTGGTCATGTGGTTCTGTTTGGAAAACACTCGCGAATTGGTCCGCAAATACTCTGGCAATTTCGTGAGGTTGGGTCACAGGTTGTCCTTGCTTGTTTAGCAAAATAGTAGGAATGCTTACTTTTAATGTTACTTGTTGTCTTATATAGGAGTAAAACTTTTTTGGTCCTGCATGCAGTATTTCTTGTTCGTAGGTTGTTCGAGCTTTTCTATTTTCATTTAGTAATTGGTTCTAGTCCAGTCAGCACATATCTGTTCCATAAGGCTACTTTGTTCTTGATGAGTTTTTTAGTTTTGTTTCTAACCCAGCGCTTGTTTGTGTTATTTAGACGGATATCCAACCGTGGTACGTACAAATTTATTATAGCTTCCATCAGTGCCCTATGAAGGGAGTTAAATTGTGATTTAGCACAACTTTTGTCTGTCATATTTTCGGGTAACATTGATAACAATTTAACCCTTCAGTTATAGACCGCTTAAGGAAATAAATATGGTAAATTTTAACATTGATTTAAACACAATAGCCTGGGAAAGCCTTATAACTGGTGATGTAAACAGTATGGTAGATAGTTTCAATAAGACAATGCTGGATTTATTTAATGCATATGCACCATTCCGTTCAGTTTACTTGAAAAAAAAATCATATCCATGGATCACGTACACTATAACACAAATGATGAAGCTACGTGATAAATCACATGCTAGGAGTAGAATAACTAATCTAGACACCCATAAAAAGTATTATAAAGAATTAAAAAACATCGTAAAAACGGCAATTCAGGCTGAAAAATCGGCTTACTTTAATCAATACATTAATTCGGAAAAAGATTCTAAGCTACTATGGAAAAATATTAAACAGAGCGTAGCAAATTTTAAGAAAAATGACAATCATCTAGCCCATCAATTTTGTAAACCTAATGAAATAAATAATTATTTTCTCAAACTTCCCAAAAACAGCGAAAAGAATATAAATTTGTCAATTTTAAGTCGCTACGAATTCGATAGATTTGGATGTAATACTTTTGAACTTAAAACAGTCGATGACTTAACGATTTTAAAAGTAATAGAGTCATTTAATTCGAACGCACTTGGTGATGATGGTATCACCTTAAATATGGTACTGCTGACACTCCCACGAACCCTAACAGTAATAGCAAAAATAGTCAATGAATCCATTAAAACAGGCGTATTTCCCGAGCAATGGAAAGTAGCTTCAGTAAGGCCAATTGCGAAAAAACCAAATCCGAGTGATTATAAAGATCTTCGTCCCATAAGTATCCTTCCTTTTATGTCAAAGATTCTAGAGAGAATTGTCTGTACACAGATGACCGAATATTTAGAAACAAATAAAATCTTACCTGCCAAACAGTCAGGCTTTAGAAAACATCGAAGCACCGCGACTGCTTTGATAGATGTAGTAGACGACATTTTAACAGCACAAGATGTAGGAGAAAGTACTTTATTGGTTATGCTCGATTTCTCACGCGCTTTTGACACCTTAAACCCGACGCTACTTCTTTCAAAACTTGCCTACTACGGTTTCGAGTCCACTACAATAAAATGGTTTGCGAGCTATCTTTCTAATCGTAAGCAATACGTCAAAATTGACAATTACTATGGGTCTGAAATGAAATCGGCTACAATGGCACTTGCCAGAGGGGTACCACAGGGTTCCATCTTGGGACCAATGTTGTTTATCATATACATTGCAGATATCGTTACTGCTATCAAGTATTGTAAATACCACTTATATGCTGATGACCTTCAATTATATATTTCTTTCAAGCCTGATGACACCAATAATGCTACTAAGAACGTTAACGCGGACTTGAATCTTATTAATAATTGGAGTAATCTCAACAATCTTGTCCTCAACCCAGACAAATCAAAATATATGATTGTGGGAAGTCGAAAGCAAACGGATTTTATCCTTGCTTTAAATCCGCAAATATTTATCGATGGTTGTTTACTTGAACGTGTATTGGAAGTTCGTAACCTTGGCTTAGTGATGGATGGAAAGTTGCGGTTTGAGGGTCATATATTAGAAACTATGCGTAACTGCTTCTACAGACTTAAGGTTTTATATAGGATTCGCGAATTTTTAACGGTAGACATGCGAATTAAATTATGTGAAACGCTTATTTTGTCCAAATTATCCTACACTGACACCGTTTATGGGGAATGTCTGTATGCAAGGACAAAAAAAGCAATACAGAGGATACAAAACGCATGCGCACGATTCTGCTTTACAATCCCGAGACGATCACACATAACTCCATTTCTTAACCGGCACGACTTGATGAATATGACCACTCGACGTACACTTCATCTCGCCACATTGCTTTTTGGGGTTATACGGAACAAAGAACCTTCGTATTTATTCGAAAAGCTAATATTTTCATATCGTTATGTTAGATCAGCGTTGCGGCTCATTTGTCCCCGGTATCGTACAGCTGCTTTCCGTGGTAGTTTCCGATTTGCTGCTACTAAGTGCTGGAATGACCTCCCTCCACCAATCAGAAACTCAACATCTGCTAAGTCTTTTAAAAACAACTTAAAAAAGTATCTCCTTTCAACACAAAAGTCCAGCACTTAAGTTTCCGTATAATTGGAAGAATAAACAAGCACAATTAAGGCATAACTGTAGTGACCACACATAACTCACTAATATTTGCATACAGCTCAAGCATGTATTTGTAACCAATTCTATTGTCTTATTTTATTTTTTCTTTCATTTTTGTAATTCAGATTTTTTTGTATGTCTATTTTTGTTGTTTTTTAATTTTGTTTTATTTTGCTTTCTGTTTTTGTTATATGAGGCTTTTTGTGTTTGTTATATGATTGTGTTTGCTACATATTAATCACTGTTTTGTTACGCCATCTATCATCCTCCTATGGTTCCACTGAAAACCAGCATTCACGGAGTTTATTAATTCCGTGAACTCATGCTGAGTGGAAACCTATTTGGTGCATGTACATTGTATTTCTTTTATTGTAAATAATTTTTTGTAAACGATTGATTTATGTACCAAATAAACTTTTCTTTCTTTCTTTCTTTCAATTTAGTGTATTTGATCGTAATCGGCTTTCTTAAAATTTAGTCTGGTTTTATGTTGCGTTTGTTGGTTCTGCGTTTGCAACTCTATAGTAGCCAATAAGCAGGTATGATCGCTTTTACTAATAGGGCCCTGGTGATCGATACTGGCTATAAGTGAGTTTGGATTTTATATTGGTGTAAGATATCCTCTATCTTCTAGTGGCCACTTCACTCCGCCATTGTTGAAGTCACCCATTATTACCACAGTGTTAGACTTGGATACATGATGAAGCTGATTGAGTAAGCTGATATCTTGGTCTATTTAAGAGTCATGTCCTCTATATAGTCCACATAGTAAGAACTTCTTATTTCCGATTTTAAAGTCAAGCCCAAGAACATTCGGAAGTTTCATAATTCTTGTTGTAAGTAGTATTGTGTTTTATTGTCAAGACGTCAATTTCTTTTGAGGCATATATTCCGACTCCTCCACTACGTTTGCCTATCTCATCTCGGTATAAGTCATATCCAGGTATTTTTATTATTGAGTCCGGTATATTTGGCTTGAGCCATGTTTCAGAAATTATTATCAGCGCTGGATTTAACGTATTGACTCTGGCAATAAGTAGATCCAGTTTAGATGTTACTGATTGTATATTTGTGTATAGTATTGATATTTTTAGAAATTTTGGTATGATCTTAGGGACTATATTATTTGTTTTGTAAGATTGTTGTAGTTCGTTGTTGCTATTAGTGATTAGTTATTTTGTGCATTAGTTTTCACAATTGTTGGATGCCCACGGATATATTTTATAGTGATGTCCGTTTCTCCGTCATTTATGCGTTTATTAAGTTTTTCTCGTAAGTACTTCAAGTATTCTCTTTGCAAGGGAGTCAGGTCCGAGGTAATGTTTGAGGGCTCACTAAGTTTGTTTCTATGGCGGAGGACTTCCAGTGCATCGCTCTTAGTGTGAAGGATAGCTTTCAGTGGCCTCGGTTTGGCACCTGCATGTTTTTTGGGAGCACCAAGACGAAAAACCTTAATTCCATTACAATTAACTTTGTTTGTGATAGTGTTTATTATAGCCACACATTCGCCTACGCCATCTTCCTTCCTCTTATCGACTATATCACTAGTTGATTCGGGTACATCATAAATAATAAGATTGTTTGCTCTGTTAGCTCTTTCTGTCATCTCCTGAATTGCTGATTCAGTTGCAAGCATACTTTGACGCATACGCAGTTGCTTTACTTCTTCAGAAAGCTCATTTAGTTTTTTCATTATCATTGGCAGTTGAGTCATGGCCGATTTGCAATCACTGCATAGAAAAGTCATAATGCGAGCGACTGTCTTTAGCTCTAGCACACGTACTTCGGTAGGTGACAATCCGTGACATTCCCCACATAACAGTATTTTACAGGAATCACATGTTACAGATGTTTTTTTATCATTTGGTGGTTTAAGGAACTTGGAACACTTGGAACATATTCCAGATGGTAAGTTGGTATTTTTTTTATTTGAACTCATTTTTGGTAGTTAATTTAATTGTATTGCTGACAACACTGTCTCGTATTTAAAAAAAACCTTGAGGGTATTTTAATAAACTTTCTTAAATATGATGTCAAATATTAACTAATTTTTCACTACTTTGGATGTTTTATGCTGTTTTACACCGAAATAACACTTGCACAAAACCCACTAATATTGTTAAGCACTTTTAAAATGATTATAATCAGTTTCGTCCACTTTTTTATTTAAAAACTAAATTATTCTGGAGAGCCTATTTATTACACCTCAGTCATTTGACAGTTCACTTCATTAAAATTAATTCAAAATTTCTAAACCGAAACGTTATGAGCTATTTGTCATGCTGATGGAAAAAACATCTGAAATAAAATTATAAACCAAATTGACATGAGCCCTTCGTTTCCAGTAAAAAGGGTCTCCAGTTACTCTTACCGTACGAAACAGCAGCACTAAGCTGCAATTTTACGCAGGTATTCTGTGAAAGCGTAGTCCTACCTATTCCATTCGTACTAAAACAATAATATAACTGCAGTGTGGCTCTGCAACATATAGTATATCAATTCTTTTCTAACTTAAATCCTTTTTCTAAAAAAAGGACTAAGATTTCCAGATCCAGGAGCAGAGGCAAAAATACACCGGCTGTATAGGTAATAGTATGGATGCATAAATTAATAAATATAATATGTATGAGTGCCATCTTTCATTTAACATTATTGGTCAATGGCGACTGACAAATTCATACATGTTCATTTAAAAGAAGCTAAATGAAAAGATCTTTAAAGCAAATTAGTTAATTTCTTATTAAAAACCATTTCGTTTTAATTTTATTAAAATGGACGAAATAATACTGAACCATACATAGATTTATACTTATGTGTACATAAGTATAAATCTATGTATGGTTCAGTATTATTTCGTCCATTTTAATACTAGCTTACTGCATAGTTGATAGCGCCCTCGAGTGTAATTTTCGGTAATTTATAATTCCAACGTCATCTATGAAATCGCAGAAGGAACTTCCCTTGATTGTGACTCATCTATGTCCTACATAGTATATTATCCATGATTTCAGTTCACCTATGTAAGTAATTCATTTTCTACAAAGGAAATTGTCAAATATTGTACGAAGCCCTTTTTTAATGTCGTTGACTAGTTGGCTATATAGCCACTAGATGTCGTTAGGTAGTTAGCTATATAGTCACTAGATGTCGTTGGCTGTTAGAATAGAAAAATAAGTAGTTTATGTGTCTATCTAGCCTTAACAACTCAAACACTACGCTACCTACCGGGTCCAAATTTCATAATTTCCTTTTTTGCACTAAACCAAGATATACTGTCAATATAGGTTTTTGACCCACCACATACATACGGAATTCCGTTTCGGGATTCCATTTCGATATTCCGATTCGGAATTCCGAACGCAGCAAGTCCATATAAAATATATGAGCCGTCACATGCGGACGGTAGCTTTCCGTTCGAAAATTTGCGGGCAAAATGGGATTCCGTATGTGTGTGGCCGACCCGTTCGGGATTCCGTGAATACATTACACACATACGTTTATTTCCGTTCGGAATTACAAGGCTCACTTGAGAGTCGCTAGCTATTGATTCTAGACATTCTGCCAGCGAATTATCACGACGATTTACTATTTGCGATTCCATTGTTGCTGTATCATTGTTACTGGGTGCATCCTCTTATCACCCTAAGCTTGCAATACAGTCAATATTATGTAAAAGATCTATCTATCCAGAGATATTTTTTTAAATATGGATGTGAGTTAACCCTTTCGACGAATTATTAAACAAAAGAAGATGAAAGGTTACAAAAAGCTATACATATATAAGATTAAATTTAAAAACGTATATAAACACACCTACTCGCTTCGGTCGTGCGACGAACACTTTCGGTTTATACAAAGCTACTCTGTGACGAACACTGAATCCGAAACCGCGTCCCGTACGGAATTTACGAATGTGTGTTGCGACTCATACAAAATCTATGGAAGACTTGCGTTCGGAGCGGCTGTTTTCCGTTCTAGATTCAGAACGCATAGGCATCTCGAATTGGAGAATATTCCGTACGGAAAATTACCGTACGTGTGTGACGGGTCATAGATTTCATATGGACTTGCCGCGTTCGGAATCCCAAATCGGAATATCGAAACGGGATCCCGAAACGAAATTCCGTATGTATGTGGCTGGCCTTAGAATTTGTTATAACCTTGACTACGTTGCCACCTATCGGATCTTACATAACATAGCTATGCGCTAGCAATTCTTATTAGTTTGTTCCACAGAACACAATTACCCTCTACCGAAATAAGAAAGCCATCTCCAAAGTAAAAAACAGAAACACGCGTCTATACATTTATAATTCTAGCGCTACAGTGGGCGCCCATGTGAAACTTTTTTCACGGGAATTTCAAACCTTTGTATTCTGTAACATTAAACTTTTTATTTAAGGCATATTCGAGTAATTTTGGCTCAAGCTTCACAAACCTATGGGATACTTTCCCATACATTTGAGAGGTTGCACCAAAATTACTCGAATATACTTTGGATTAGTATGTGGGATATAATAAAACTATAAATAAGTGTAGTTATGTAATTAATAAAATAATATATTTTCTGGAAGACAGATTGTTTTATAAACTATACACTATTATTGATGTTTTTATTGCTTTTGCACATATTTCCACGCTTGTTACTGATATATAATACATGTTATGGATTGGACTAAATAATAAATTTCTAATAATTAAATAATAATTACAAATTTCAACCCATGCATTGTCAGAGAGATATTCTTCACAGAACATTAACATAAATTTAAATCAGCAAAATTCTCATGGTGGAAACTTAACTCAGTCCAAATACGTTATCTGAAACAGATACAATTCGAGTCAATATAGTAATAATCCCTACAAATAACGGTCAATAAATTCAAAAATTTTTATAGTCTTAATTAAAAAAAATTATAGTGTTTATAGACTTAACACAATATTGTCATAAGTTTTTCTTTTCCTGTATAGGACAGTTACTATTATACAGTAATCTATGGTTACTATACTCTTTGGTATACAGTTTCACACTTTTCGACTTAACTGTACTGCAATTCTGCAATGATGCAATCCTAGCTTGCTACATTTTTTTTTATAGGAGAGGGGGCAAACGAGCATGCTGCTCACCTGATGGTAAGTGACTACCGCCGCCCATGAACAACTGCAACACCAGGGAGGGAATTGCAGATGCGTTGCCGGCCTTTTAAAAAGAAGTACGCTCTTTTCTTGAAGGTCCCTAAGTCGTATCGGTCCGGAAAAATCGCAGATGGTAATCGATTCCACAAGGAAGTCGTGCGAGGAAGAAAACATCTTCACTACTGTGCATCTTCGGTGCACAGTAGTGGACCGCCAATCATCCAGATGGTGTGGATGGTATCGGGAGTTCTGCCGCGATGTGCGTTCGTGAAATTTGGCGGCTGGAATTAATCCGAACAATTCCTCAGAGCACTCCCCATGGTAGATGCGAAAGAAAATGCAAAGAGATGCAACATCTCTTCGCAGTGCCAATGAATCGAGCCGATCGGAAAGGGCTCGGTCGTCGAAGATTCGAGCCGCTCTGCGTTGATTGCGGTCAAGTTTTTTTTTTTTTTTTTTTTTTTTTTTTTATAGGAGAGGGGGCAAACGAGCATGCGGCTCACCTGATGGTAAGTGACTACCGCCGCCCATGAACAACCGCAACACCAGGGGAATTGCAGATGCGTTGCCGGCCTTTTAAAAAGGAGTAGGCTCTTTTCTTGAAGGTCCCTAAGTCGTATCGGTCCGGAAAAATCCCTGGTGGTAAACTATTCCACAAGGAAGTTGTGCGAGGAAGAAAACATCTTCTAAATCGCACAGTGGTGGACCGCCAATCATCCAGATGGTGTGGATGGTATCGGGAGTTCTGCCGCGATGTGCGTTCGTGAAATTTGGCGGCTGGGATTAATCCGAACAATTCCTCAGAGCACTCCCCATGGTAGATGCGAAAGAAAATGCAAAGAGATGCAACATCTCTTCGCAGTGCCAATGAATCGAGCCGATCGGAAAGGGCTCGGTCGTCGACGATTCGAGCCGCTCTGCGCTGGATGCGGTCAAGTGGAAGGAGCTGGCACTGGGGAGCCCCTGCCCAGAGATGGGAACAGTATTCCATGTGAGGCCGAACCTGCGCCTTGTAAAGTTGCAGGCGGTGTGCCGGCATGAAATACTGTCCCGCTCTGCTGAGCACGCCAAGCTTTTTAGAGGCCAATTTGGCCTTCTCTTCCAAGTGACCACGAAACTGCACGTCACTCGATATGTCGACTCCGAGGATACCGATACTGGCTGAGGCAAGAAGGGGAGTGCCTTGAAACTGAGGAGATACGACAAAGGGGTTCTTTTTAGCGGTAAACGCGCAAACTTGTGTCTTCTGAGGATTAAACTGGACTAGATTTAGTCGCCCTCAATCCGAGACTTTGTCCAGCAAAGACTCGACTTCAGACACAAGTTTGTTCCGGTACTCGGCGACGTTTTCCCGAGAAATATTGGCCCGGCCGGTGTATAGAGCATCACCAGTGCTGTCATCCGCATAGCAATGAATGTTACCAGTTAGCAACATATCATTGATATGCAGAAGAAACAGCGTTGGTGATAGCACACAGCCTTGTCGAACACCAGCGTTAATAGGCTTGTAGTCAGAACATGCACCGTCTACAACGACCTTGATGCTCCGATCTGCAAGAAAGCTGGTGATCCAATTGCACAATTTCTCGGGAAGCCCATAGGAAGGCAGCTTCGAAAGAAGCGCTTTGTGCCAAACCCGATCAAAGGCCTTCGCAATGTCCAGACTAACGGCCAACGCCTCCCCCTTGAACTCTACTGCCTTCGCCCATCTATGGGTCAGGTAGACCAGAAGATCACCAGCTGATCGACCCCGACGAAAACCGTATTGGCGGTCACTAATCAGCTGGTGATCCTCAAGGTACC